ATCCAAATTGGGGTTTACAGAAGTGTTTTGTTCTGAAATGTTGTCTCCTTACAGCCCCACACACCAGAAATTTTTAACTTCTCTTAAAGAAATGGTTCATTTTTTACCCCTCTTAGGTAGAAGTGGCCAAGATTTCTGGTGCTTTAGAATATTGTGGTTTTTTTTCAAACTGGGGTGAAAGAGCCCCAAAAATCTAAAAGCAAATGAAGATTTGGAAGTTATTTTATTTATGTTGAAATCTTTATCAAAATTCAAATTAGGGTTTACAGAAGAGTTTTGTTCTAAAGTGTTGTATCCTTACAGTCCCACACCAGAATTTTTTAACTTCTCTTAAAGAAATGGTTCATTTTTTACCCCTCTTAGGTAGAAGTGGCCAAGATTTCTGGTGCTTTAGAATATTTTGGGTTGTTTTTCAAACTGGGGTGAAAGAGCCCCAAAAATCTGAAACAAATGAAGATTTAGAAGTTATTTGTGTTGAAGTCTTTATCAAAATCCAGATGAGGGTTTACAGAAGTGTTTTGTTCTGAGGTGTTGTCTCCTTACAGCCCCTCACTATAAATTTTTAGGTTCTCTTAAAGAAATGATTCATTTTTTTACCCATTTTAGGTAAAAGTGGCCAAGATTTCTGGTGACCAAGATTTAAGGTGCTTTGGAATATTGCATTTTTTTTTCAAACTGGGGTGAAAGAGCCCCCAAAATCTAAAACAAGTGAAGATGTAGAAGCTATTTTATTGATGTTGAAATCTTTACGAGCTGAGTGTGAGCAAGGAAGTCAAAAGTGCTGCAAAATGAAGGGTGAAGAAAATGGGTTTCAGGAACAGTCCAACAGGAGAGTAATGAACTTCCTCTATTGCCAGAGGTCAAAAGTTGGAGGAAGCATCAGGCAGGAGATGAGTAAGCTGAAATAATGGAAAACAACGTTTTTCTAGTACATTTTTGTCCTATTTTAAAGGCAAATCTTGTCAATTTAAACATAAAGACAGAAAGCCTGCTCACTTTGCAGCACCAAGAATCTACAAAGTATTTTTTTAAGGTGATCTGGACGAAGGAATGGAAGAAGTTTTCTGTGTGTGAAGGGTTTGTCACCCCTGAAATCCAACCTCTGTTAGAGAAAGGGAGGGTTAAAGGGTGGAATTTTATTCTGTATTTGTGTGCTGTGCTTTTCAACTCGGGCAAGTGCTTGAAATAATAGCATGTGATGCTAAAACATGTGGTAGGAAAGGACTCAAAGAGAGTAAACAGGCTGGTTTTTTTTTTTAGCTTTTGCTTCCAGATGGCTCATTTTCTCATCTGATCCCTTGTAAATCAACGGGAGATGTTTTGGAGAGGGAACATTAACCTCTGGATTTAGCGGGTGCTGTGTAATGGTTCAGAAAACCTGCTGGGGGGGGGCTGTTTTATCACTCACTGATGAATGCAGCCTTTGTTAGCTGAGATTCTGGAATAAATGTGTTGATAGGGATGAATATATGGATATACATTACTGGGAATATCAGGATAAATATGGATGGATCGGGCGAGATAAACGTAAAAGCCCCGCGGGGGTTCCCGCGTCCGTCGTCGCCTCGGGGTGGTGGTTTATTCCCTAATTTCGTGGGGTTTTGGGGGTTGTTTTACAGCTGAGAACTGCTCAGGCTACTGCACGTGTGCTCACTGCCTGGAGCAGCCTGGCTGTGGGTGGTGCACGGATCCCAGCAACACCGGGAAGGGCAAGTGCATGGAAGGCTCTTTCCGGGGTCCCGTCAGGATGCCGAGCCCATCCCCGGCAGGGAAGCAGAGCCTGGAGCCCGTCCTCAATGTCAGCATGTGCCCTGTGGAGAACAGCTACAGCTGGTCCTTCATCCAGTGCCCAGGTAAATGGCCAGGCTTTAATTGCAATTAAATGCGAGGGGAGAGGGTTTTTAAGTCCGTTGGGGTCTGTGTTCCCTCCTGGTCGTGGAGGGAGGAGAGCATGGAAGCAGGAATTGCAGTTGGAAATGCAGCTGAGCTGCAGAGCTTTGCTGCAGGAAGATTTAACTATTCATTTTTCCTTTCCCCACAAATCATTACTGAGGGTTTCACTTTTTGTTTGTTTTTTTTTCGTTTTTGAATAAATGAAACAGAAGCAGCATTTCTGTTTGAAAGAAAGGCCTTTGAAGGTTGATTTAACTCTTAATAACGCTCAGGGCGATTTTTAACTCATGTTTCTGACCCAAAACCTACAGAAAAAAGTGACTTGTGCTGTTGCTAAACACTCCCCTCCCCATTCCTTGTCACCCATCCCACCAGCAGCTTCCAGTCCAGTGTGCCCCTAATGTTTGAGAGTTCAGTTGTCCATCTCTTGCTTTTAATTCCAGGTTTTCAATGCCCACCTCTCTTTGAGGTCGTGTATGATCAGTTAGACTTCAAGAACCTCTCTGGAAGGTGCAGGAAAAGGTTTAATTCATCCTCTGCACAACACACCCTCCTGAGGGTCTGTTTGAGCACAAATACTAAATTTGGGCCAGAATACTCATCATTTTTCCTGTTGTTTGCTTTTTTTTCCTCCAGCCTGCCAGTGTAACGGGCACAGCAAGTGTGTCAACGAGAGCATCTGTGAGAAATGTGAGAACCTGACAACAGGCAAACACTGTGAAACTTGTATTTCTGGCTACTACGGGGATCCCACCAACGGGGGGACGTGTCAGCGTAAGTGCCGCCTCCCATCTGCCCTGCACTGAACCCTTTGATGTTCTCCCACTCTTTGCTCCTTCCCTCTTTTATCCTCACTGGAATTACATCCCCATAATTCGTGTTTTCCCTCCTGCCAGCGAGGCTCAGCCCTCGTTTCTCCGAATCAAAGCCTCTCCAGGTGCCGGGTGAAATTCCTGATTTTTTTTTTACGATGATTTTTTTTTTCCCCCCCTCCTTTGTAAACTTGAAGTGACCACAGTGAAAAAAGGGCTGTGTTGTAGGGTTTGATGAGCCTGTTTTGGGAAGGAAAAGCGTTAATCCCGACGTCTCAAACGGATTTCTGCTTATCTAAGTCCCACCTTCTATTCTATTTGGTTAATGTGGTGAGTGTTTATGGTTCTAATTGTCTGCTTCACAAAGGCTGCCCGTGTTTCAGCTGAGGGCTTGGCTGCATTTCAGTGGAGGATTAGGAGAACCCTGTTAAAATTGCATTTCGAGTTTGTAAAGCACGGTGGGACTCTTTGGCACGAAGCTGTGCGAGATCCAGTTAACAAAGTGGGGAAAAAAATGTTCCTTGAAAGGCCAATACAGTTAATATTGAGAAATGAACATGTAGGACTTGGAGTTTTGCCCTTCAGCCTCGTGACGTTGTTTGGAACTGCTGTGCATTTTTTAGTGTTGTAGCATGGAAAGAGCAGTTGTAAACCAGAATCCAGCTGTGAGAGGGGATGTGCAGATGTGAGGGAAGGGGCTTCTTGCTCAGCCTTAATCACAGAATCAGGGGATGGTTTGGGTTGGAAGGGATCCTAAAGATCATCTCATTCCAGCCCCAGGCCATGGGCAGGGACACCTTCCACTAGCCCAGGTTGCTCCAAGCCACATCCAACCTGGCCTTGGACACTTCCAGAGATCCAGGGGCAGCCACAGCTTCTCTGCCCAACCTGGGACAGGGCCTCCCCACCCTCTCAGCCAAGAATTCCTTCCCAATATCCCATCTATCCCTGCCCTTTGGCACTGGGAAGCCATTCCCTGTGTCCTGTCCCTCCCTGCCTTGTCCCCAGTCCCTCTCCAGCTCTCCTGGAGCCCCTTTAGGCCCTGCCAGGGGCTCTCAGCTCTCCCTGGAACCTTCTTCTCTCCAGGGGAACCCCCCCAGCTCTCCCAGCCTGGCTCCAGAGCAGAGGGGCTCCAGCCCTGGCAGCAGCTCCGGGGCCTCCTCTGGACTCTCTCCAGCAGCTCCACGTCCTTGTGCTGTTGTTCCCAGGGCTGGAGCAGCTCTGCAGGGGGGTCTCACCTCAGACAGGGTCAGAGGGGCAGAATCCCCCCCTGTCCTGTTGCCCACACTGGGGGATCAGCCCAGGGCACGGAGGGTCTTGGCTGGGGCATCTCCAGCTTCTCCCCCACCAACACCCCCAAGTCCTTCTCCCAGGGCTGTTCTCCATCCATTCTCCCAGTCCGTGTTTGTGCTGGGATTGCTCTGACTCAGGTGCAGGACCTGCACTTGTCCTTGTTGAAAGGACAAGTCATGAGTTTCCCACATTCCCACCTCTCCAGCCTGTCCAGCTCCCCCTGGATGCCATTCCATCCCCTCTCTGCAGCCTGTGACCACACCACACATCTCGGGGTCACCAGCTCAATCCCACTGTGTCCCTGTCACCAGCAGAGATGTTAAACAGCACCATCCCCATGGATTCTGCTCATGGAATATCACTGGGTGGAGTGAGACAATCAGATACAGGGCTGGAAAGGTAGAACAGACATCCCAGTGCTGGTGGCAGAGCAGTGGCAGCGCTGCCATGAAATCAGTGTGGGTGGTTTGCAGCCATCCTGGAAGAAAGAGGTGAAGGTGATTAATGAGTGGACGTTGAAGACTTTGAGTTTCTCCTTCCAAGGAGACAATCCAGTAGAAAATCCTTGGATTTTCGTTGAATATGTTTACTGGGAGTAGCACTGACCTTTTGGATGAAGGTGGGAGTCTGTAGGTGGAACGTGAACATCCTGTTTCCCCAAGCAAGAGCGAGGTGGTGATGTTTGGGGCTACAAAAACCTTCCCAGTGGGCAGAGTCCTGGAAACAGGGGGGGGGGGAAATAATACAGGGATATGTCTACCTTCCTTAGAGAAAAGGGTTTTACAACACAGGTACAAAAGGAGAAAGCGTTTCTGACACTTGATTTCACGACATTATCTGGCAGATTAAACACCGCTGATACTCGTAAACTCATTTCGGGTGGAGATAATTTGAAGTGCAGGGATGAATAAATTGAGGCCGAGTTGCCTGAGAAGATACAAAATCCTGCCCTGAGCTTTCAGTTTAATCACTGGATCACAACGTGCCTGTTGGAAGGTGTTGCTTTTCCGTGCGTGCGGGAATGGGGGGCGAGTTCCTTTTTGGACTCTCCCTCGCGAGGATCGTCCCGAAACAGTTTGTTGTTGAGGTGATGAATGACAGGCTGAAATCATCCAGATGCCCGAAAAACAAATTAGAAAACGTGTTGAGGGACTGTGGAGCAGCTTTCAGTCCTTATCTGATGGAGCAGCAGCTCATGGCACAAGTGCTTTGCTCTCCGGCGCTCTGGGCCCGGGGTTTTAATTTGCTGTGATTTAACGCTATTTACGGGGAAGGCAGAAGGGAGAGGGAAGCAGGAGGCTGGGAAAGGCCAAGGAGAGCAAATCAGCCTGTCTGATGCAGGCAGGGTGACTCCTGCCCATCAGTCATTTCTGCTCAGTGGAAAGCTTTCCAGAGGGGAATTGTTCAGATAAGGGTTGCCTGACGGGCAGCAGAGCCAGCTCCTGCTTCCCCCCCTCCTCTGAGCCACATCCCTCCTTCCTTTCCCATTAATAATGTGCTGATTCCACTCTTTTTGTGCATTTGTGAGGGATGTTTTGTGCTGCTCTGTGTTCAGAGCCCACAGTCCCATCCGTGCTGGAGATGGTTGTTGTACATTCCAGCCTGACACAAAAATATCCCTGTGTTTGCACACTCAGTGATAGTGTGAGGCATCATGGATCCTTAGGATCATGATCCATAGGATCATGGAATGAGTTGGAAGGGATCTTAAAGCTCATCCAGTTCCACCTCCTGCCATGGGCAGGGACACCTTCCACTAGACCAGGTTGCTCCAACCTGGCCTTGGACACTTCCAGGGATCCAGGGGCAGCCACAGCTTCTCTGCCCAACCTATGCCAGGGCCTGCCCACCCTCCCAGCCAACAATTCCTTCCCAATATCCCATCTAATCCTACCCTCTTGTAATTTAAAGCCATCACCCCTTGTTCCATCACTAGGTACCCCTGTAAAAATCCCAACACAAGGTGATATCCCTTTGTGTTGGAAAAATGTTGACAAGCTGCAGTTATTTCCATGAAAGGACTGTTTGCATCCCATGCCTGGTGTTGGCAGAGCTGGGCAGGCAGTGCCTAAATGGCAGGTAAATCACTGCTCAGAGGTTGCTTTTAGGAGGTGCCCAAGTCGAGGAGTGTTAATCAGGAAGGGCAGGAAACGCAGCACATCAAATGTAAAAATAGCTGCAAGGTGCTTTCTCTGCATTCAGGAGGTTTTTTTGAGTCCTCTGATTAAAGTTCCCCATGAAAATATGCTGGTGGGAGATAAGGACGTTATTTGCAAGCCAAGGGAAGGCTCTATTATGCCTGGAATCAGATTGTGGCTGCGGCAGCGCTTCCCAACATTTCCATGGAGCCTTTGCTGGTGGCCCAGGAGCTGCTGGTGCTGTGTCCTGCCTGTCCCCCCCTCCCAGGGCTCCCCCAGGCCTTGGAGGGCAGGTAGAGCACGTGGAATGGAAAAACGGCCTTGGGCTGGTGGGTAATGGTGTTTCCATGGGGAAACTGGGCTGTCAGAAATGCGGGAAGAGGAGTAAAGATCCCTGTGTCCATCTCTGAATGAGCCTGTGACCTGTGGTTTGTGGAGGAGGTGGAAGGAGAGTCACCATGGGGTGGTTCAGCATCAAACTCTTACCAGGATTCACAGGCAAAAAAACAGTTCCAAAAAATTTTGGCTTGTCTGCTCTGGCATCTCTGACTCTGGAGGGAAATGGTCGTTTGGAGACTCCAGTGAGGACATCCAGTACATTTTATCCACAGTTTGTTTCCCAGGTTCATAGTTCTTAAAAAAAAACACTTGAAGATGTCTCTTTATGCATATTCCAGCCCTTCAGTAAATAATCTCTAGTTGTAGGCTTGGAGGAAAACAGATAAAGAAATAGATTCTCTTGTTGTAAATAGAGATGTTTGAGTGTTCAGGCTTCTTGATAAGCACGAGGCTGAAGAGCAGGGGTGGGGGGAAACATTAATGTTAATGCTCAAGATGCTGCAATCTGCCTCTAAACAGCATGGAACTTAAAAATTAGGAGGAATTTTATGTGTGTTCGTGTTGAATATTGATCCGACGTCGCTTTGCTTCCCTCGTGCAAAGCGGGAGGAAGGAAGTACAAGACATTCTCAGCAGTACTGAGACTTATTTTTCTTTAAGTGCCACTAATGAAAAGTATGTTTCCCTTCACAGAAGACAATTATTTTGTCGAATTTTCATTCAGGCTCCTTGTTCCCACAATAAGCCTTTATGCTTCCTCCTATTTTGCTCCGTGTTGCTGCTAGGAAACCACTCACCCACCTCTGAGAGGCACAATTAAGTGTCCCTGATACAATATTCTTCCATTATGTGCCAACAGAAAGAAAGGGGACATCAAAAGGAGCCCTAAAAAAAGGTCAAAAGCTGGCAGGAATATTCAGGATGGGGACTTGATGTCTAAGAATCTGCTGGTACCTTGAGTGGCCCATTAATGAGAAGGATTTTATGTCTCTTAACGAGGAGGCTCTAGACCTTAAAGCAGCCTGTTCCCAGCAAGCTCAGGGGTCATAAACAAGGGATTTTCTCTTTGTGCACTTTTTTCTTTCTTGTTTTGTACCCTCTCCCGTGCACAGCTCCAGGTGGATGCACCTTCACGGGGAGAACAATTCCTTAAAGGCTGAAAAGTTGTTCTCTCTCCACATGAAATCCGGGACAACGAGTTGTGTTGGTTTTGTTCCAATTTGTTGATTTGGTTTTGAGTTTGGTTTTTTTTTCCCCCTTTTTTTTTTTTTTCTGTTCCTCCTCTCCACCTTTATGAATAAAGGTGTCAAAGTGTGTCAACACGAGCATTTAGTTTGAACCAGGAGCCTTTTTGGGAAGCGAATCTCCCGTGTGTCCCCACCCTGGGACCTTGGGTTGGATCTCCAGCAAACTCAGGTCTAACTCTATATAAACTGGGCTATTTTGGGCAGGCCTCAAGCCTGAGGGAAGTCCAGAACTCTGCTGATTTTCTTCAACCACAACCCCCTGACATTCATCTCGAAGTTATCCTAAAATATATTGGGGAGTGTGCCCCAAATTCCAACATGGACATCGTCTTCTTTCTTGGCACCAGATGTTTTCTGCTGACACTGTTGATAAGGATGTTATTTTCTCAATAGGACTATTGAGACATTATTTTCTCCTATTTATTTATTTCTATAAAAGGCCCTAAAAGCCCCACCAGCTTTGTTTTAATTTCCAAACTCTTCTCTCAAGAGTTCTGAGTTTGGCTGAGGTGTCTTAGCAAGCCCAAAACTATTCCAAACATCGTTCCCCTTGCCAGTCATGACATTCCCACTGCCGTGTGTCAAGGGGAGAGGAAGTCAAATAAATTTTTGAGGCTAAAAATCTCAGTCAGGTGATGATTTCCTACAAACATCAGTCCTGGGGCCGCGCTCGCTCTGTTTTGATGCCGGGTTCTATTTTTGGCTGCACAAAAGGGAAGCAAAGAGCACCAAATGGGTTTTCATCTGCATGTTAATTGTTGGTGTAGCTCAGTTTGGCAGCTGAAGGACTTAATTGCTGTCGAGTTTGTTCCTCTTGCCTGGCTCAGTGTTGTGTCTTCTCCCCCCTCTGCTCCACAGCCTGCAAGTGCAATGGCCACGCATCCGTCTGCAACACCAACACCGGCAAGTGCTTCTGCACCACCAAGGGGATAAAAGGAGATGAGTGTCAGCTGTGAGTTTGTTTCTTTGTTGTTTGAAATCAGAAAGTCGTACCGGTCCCACCATGGAACACCCCCTGTCCCACCGTGGAACCACCTTGTCCCTCTATGGAACCCCCCCTCTCCCACCGTGGAACTTCCCTTGTCCCACCAAGAAACATCCCCCTTGTCCCACCAGGGAACTCCCTTATCCCACCGTAGAATCCCCCCCTTGTCCCACCATGGAACCACCTTGTCCCAGCGTGGAACCCTCTTGTCCCACCATGGAACCACCTTGTCCCAGCGTGGAACCCGCTTGTCCCGCTATGGAACAATCTTGTCCCACCATGGAACTGCCTTGTCCCACAAGGGAACTCCCCTGTCCCAGCATGGAACCCCCTTGTCCCACCATGGAACAATCTTGTCCCACCCTGGAACCCCTCCTGTACCACCATGGAACCCCTCCTGTCCCAGCATGGAACCCCCTTGTCCCACCATGGAACAATCTT